GATGAGCCATCGACTTCCTGGTTGACACCAGAGCACAATATTCAGTTTTGATGGAGCCTATGGGGAAAACTGACCAGTAAACCTACCTGGGTGCAAGGGCCCACAGGAATCGCTCAACACCCTTGGACTACCAAAAGGGAAGTAAACTTAGGTAAGAAGACAATTTCACACTCCTTTATGGTGGACCCAGAGTGTCTGTATCCCTTAGTGGGTAGGGACTTGTTAAATAAAATGAAAGCTCAAATCCATTTCTCTGGGAGAGGACCTCCTGATGTGTACTGGATGCAGCCTATGTCCTATATTTACAACTAGAAGAAGAATGGAGAGCGCACACCCCACCCCCTCAAAAGAGACCAACCAGTATCTTCAAGGACCTCCAGGCAACAATCCCTGGAGTTTGCAGGGAAACTAATCCCCCAGGGAGGGCCATCCAACAGCCACCAATAATGGTGACTTTAAAAACTAATGCTCAGCCTGTAAAACAGTACCCGATGACTCTCGAAGCCAGGGCAGGAATTACCAAACACATAAACCGCATTAGGGAGTTCAGTATTCTGGTTCTATACCAATCTCCATGGAACACCCCTCTCCTACCCGTCAAGAAACCGGGACTAATGATTTCTGCCCAGTGCAGGATTTGAGAGAAGTTAACAAGAGTGTAGAGGATATCCACCCTACAGTCCCCAACACGTATACCCAGCTGAGCTCACTCTCTCCGGAGAGAAGATCTACTGTTTTAGAACTCAAGGACGCCTTCTTTAGCCTGACCCTGCCAAAGGAAAGCCAACCCATCTTTACTTTGAGTGGCAAGACCCGAACCAGGGGTTTAATGGACAACTCACTGGGATGTGACTGCCACAGGGGTTCAAGAACTCCCCCATGATCTTTGCCAAGGCTCTACATCAGGACTTGCAGGAGTATCGGGCCTCGCACCAGAGGTAAGCCTCCTACAGTACGCAGATGACCTGTTAATTGCCACTAAGGATGAGGGCACTTGTCTTCAGGCCACCAGAGATTTGCTCCTGACCTTGGACCAATTGGGGTATAAGGTCTCCGCCAAGAAGGCTCACCTCTGTGTCACTAAGGTAATGTACTTGGGGTACATATTAAGGGATGGACAGAGGTGGCTGTCACCAGCCAGAAACAAACCATTATGGGAATTCCAAGTACAAGATCCTGCAGGCAGTTGTGAGTTCCTGGGATCAGCAGACTTCTGCTGGCTCAGAATACCCAGATTCGCTGACCTGGCAAAATCCCTGTTATGAAGCCACTCGAGGGAATGAGTCATCCTTCCTATGAACTGAGACTCAGGAGAGGGCCTTTCAAGAAATTAAGAAGGCTTTATTGCAGGCACCGGCCTTGGCTCTGCCAGATATCCATAAATCCTTATCAGCTCTTTGTTGACGACAAACGAGCGGGAATAACGAAGGGAGTCCTGACCCAAATGCTCAGGCCTTGGAAGAGACCTGTGGCTTGTCGAAAAAGCTTGATCCTGTGGCCTCAGGATGGCCAGGTTGCCTCAGATCGCAGCCACAGCCTTATTGGTTAAGGATGCAGACAAGCTCATGCTGGAACAGCCTCTTACAGTCACCACCTTTCACTTGATTGAAGGGGTCCTTAAAAATCCCCCCGACCAATGGATGACAAATGCTCAGTTGACACATTATCAGGCCTTGCTCCTTAACCCCCCTTGCATCCAGGTCCTCTCCAGCACTGCTCTCAATCCTGCCACTTTGCTGCCAGAACCGGATCTTGAGGTCCTGCACGACTGCCTGGAGGTACTCTGCAGCTTACATGGGACTTGGGAAGACGTGATGGATGTTCCATGGCCCCACCCGGACTTAATTCTTTTCACAGATGGAAGTAGCTGCATTAAGGAACCAGGTACACGGGGGGGGGGGGGGGGGGTGTTTGGGTGAGACGGCACGACAAGGAGCCCCTTGGACCTCAATGGCAGGGGCCACACATTGTGATCCTCACCACCCCCACTGTGGTTAAGGTGGCCAGTGTCCGGACCTGGATACATCACTTGCATCTAAAGCCTGCATCAGAGGATTGGTCAGACCAAGTTGACAAGAGATGGAAGGTCACACGGGTAAAAGACAATCCTTTCAAGCCAAAAATCTCTGCCACATCATAACCCTTGTTACTTTTTTATGTTTTTTTTTTTTTTTTTAATAGAGCCTGCCCTAGCTAACTCCCCCCATGGACTCCAAAACCTCACCTGGGTAGTTAGTAGCACATCCACTGGAAAGATGGTGAACATCTCCTTCCACCTGGGACCTCCAGGTGCCTGGTTCCCCAAGATTACATTCGACCTCTGTGACCTGCTTGAAGGAGCTTGGGAATCATACACCCCATCATGCACTGTAAATTATGCTTGCCAGTCTCCCTTTGGCCAAAAGAGGATGAAGGAGCACTGTTTCTATTTTGCCCAGGTGACAATGGTGACCGAAGGAGTACTTGTCGGGGGCCAGGGGGCTATTTCTGTGCTTCATGGAGCTCTGTTTCTACTGGTATATTAATTGGGCTGCCTCAGTCACTACTGACTTGATCCAGGTAACTGTGGTCCTCCTGGGCCTAACCCTTTGGCGAAACCCCAAATCAAGGCAATTCGAGGGACCCTGTTCCTCCTCTAGATACAACCCTATCTCCTTGAGCTTCACCCCGAAAGGAAAGGAACTTAAAAACCTACAAAAATGGATTGATGGGCGAACTTGGGGCCTCAGGTTATACACCACAGGGACTGATCCAGGAATACTTTTTTCAGTCCGTCTTCAGGTGGGTCCAGTCTCGGGGACCCAGATGAGGCCGGCATGGAGTGTTACAGCTTATAGGACAACCAACACCAGCCTTAACTATTTTTAAATCTGTCGAGAGGCCAGCTCCTAGCCAAATTGTCCAACTGGATAAAACTGCTACTTTGCCCACACCTAGATCCACACCCCCAGAGGTCCAACGGGTCCAAGAGCCCTTGCAGCCATCCCCTGGGCTTACGAACCATTTAAATGCCACCTTTATTGCTTTAAATAATACTCCCCCTAACCTTACTATCCATTGCTGGTTTTGCATGGACCCAAGCCCTCCCTTTTATGATGGGTTAGCTCTCCCAGGAAATTATGTTGTCACTTCTGACCCCACTGCCTGTAGAATCCCCCCACCTACAGGGAGAAGGGGACTTACTCTCGCCCAAGTGTATGGAAAAGGGCTATGCGTGACTCCCTCACATAAAATTGTCCCCCCTTCTTACCAACATCTATGTGTAACTCTGTTCAAGAGATAGGGACTATTGCACCTAACCCATATATGGTGCCCCCCAGCTCCACTTGGTGGGCCTGTACCTCTGGCTTAACTACATGCCTCCACTCATCCATTGTAAACCAGACCAGGGATTTTTGTGTGCTAGTGCAGCTGGTTCCCCATCTATATTATAGAACAGACATAGAAATGGAAACCAGTGTCTCACAAGAGTCTAGACCTTGTAGAGCCACAGGAACCACTGCAATTGTCTTGTCTACTCTACTCAGGGTCAGGGTAACCACTGCAACTGCTCTGGGGGCTTCAGCGCTAGTCCTCCAGGATGAAAATTATCACCTTCTTAGACAGGCCATAGACTTAGACATACAATCATTAGAAACATCTATCCACCACCTCGAAGACTCTCTATCCTCTTTAGCTGAGGTAGCCTTACAAAATAGGAGAGGGCTGGATTTACTTTTTCTAGAGAAAGGAGGACTCTGTGTTGCCCTAAGGGAACAGTGCTGTTTCTGTGTTAATCACTGGAGAGTTATAAAACAGTCTTTAGCTGAGGTCTGTAAAAGACTTAAAGAGAAAACGAATGACTAAATGAACAAAATTGGTATGAATCCCTATGTGACTGGTCCCCATGGTTAACAACTTTGATCTCAGCGATAGTCAGACCTCTCTTCTCACTCCTGTTAGCAGTAACCTGTGGCCCCTGTATTCTTAATGCCTTGCTCAAATTCATCCGAGAACGGATACAGACGGTCCAACTGATGGTGCTGTGTTCGCAATATACTCATTTAAATCGAGACCATGAGCCTTACGACAATATAGAAATGGTTCCACTGCCCTAAATGCGCCATCCAACCACTTCTTTCCGCTTCTGTAATTTGACTGGCTTAAAGATTTAACCCTTGCCATAACTCTAGGGGGGAATGAAGAGCCAGAATGCTCTGACTCCATTTTGGTTAGATTCTTTAGACAAGCCCAGACAAGCTTAGGCATATTGAAAATTTTTCCAGTTGCTATCCCCTCCCAAGCTATAAATTAAGCAAGCCTAGACATGTAGAAGCCTTATAATATAGGTATGAACAAAAACTCACCTTAAAAGATATCAGTCAGCACATTCCAATGCCCTGAAGACAGCCCCTACCAATCAAGACTTCCCCCGTACACAGGATATGGGGACATCCAATTATTTTAAAAGATGCTTGGCACATGCGGGTTTCTATGGAGTTCCCCAATAAAAGCTCCTGCCTACCATTGTTCGGGGCCAGACTCCATCTTTGGCTCACGTAGTCTGTGCCCGACTAGCCGCCATTTGGTTGTTGTCTTTTTCACTTTAAATTCTTGAATAAATTTTTTGTATAATCTTTTTGGGTATCTGTGGGAATTATTCTCGAACCCTAACAGTCTACAATAGTGAGTTCCAGGCCAGCTCCACTACAGGCAGACCCTGTCTCAAAAAGGGTCAAAAAAAAAATTCAATCTACATTTTGTTTATTTTGTTTGTGTGTGTGGGCACAGCTGTGCCATGGCATATGTGCGGGGGTTAGAAGACAATTGGTGAAAGTCAGTTCCCTCCTTCTACAATGTGGATCCCAAGGCCTTTACCTGCTGAGTCATCTCGCCAGCCTAATAATGATCTGTCTAAACTTTGAGTGACATACAGAGAAAGGCCTGCACATCTGCTTAGGTAAACAAAAGGACTTCAACCTCTTCAAATTTTACTTCATATTACACATAATGTGCTACTGTCAGATGATATATTAATTTTATTTTCATTACATAAACCAAGGAAGAAACACAGAATACCATTCAAATATCTTACAAGGCATTTAAGGGAGGTGTGTTTTGTGGCTGAAAAGAAAATATCTGAAATGAACTTTTGAACTGTAGTAGAGTTGTTTGAGCTCCGTTCCTGTTTAGAGAGGACCTTTGTCCGCAGTGAAGTACTGACAGATGGACTGAACCAATCTTCTCAGAATGTTAACATTCTGGATGCTCCAAAAAGTCATATTCCACACATTCTTCCAGTTGCCTTAAGACACCTGGGCTCTCTGTGACCAGAAACTCCAAGACTGGTCCTCCTGGGGCATCCACAGGCAATTGACTTTGGGTTTTGAAAGCACAGTTTAGAGTCTTGAAGAATGGCATCAACTGCCTGATGCTGGAAATGGAATGCTGGCGCAGAAGAGGAAATTCGCTCTTTCTGCTCATCTCATCAGAGCCACCAATTGCCTGCAGAAAACCCAAGACAGTAAAAAAGTATTGATTATGTGTCTTTGAAATGCAGGCTAGCAGCAAGGGCTGTCTGGTCAGCTCTGTAGAAAACCCATGACCAGCTGGTGACAGAGGCTCAGCTTCCAATTCTAGCTCTGTAATACTTACACCAGGTTTCATCCTGAGCCCAGTGCAGCTCAAGGCCCCTGCCTCCAGCCTAGCAGGTACTCTAAATCACCGAGCCACATGGGGAGAAAAACGGCTTCTTCATGACTGTTTTCAGGGAAGGTTTAGCTCCCAGCAACTGCAATGGGTGAGGACGAAACTAAAGATGCAAGTTATAACCATCTCACGCTTTAAGGAGAGAAGGTTTGTGGTTTTTGTTTTTGTTCTGTTTTGCTTTGAGACAGGGTCTCTCTGTAGCACCAGCTGGCCTGGAACTTGTTATATAGACCAGGCTGGCCTCCTTTTACAGAAATCCTCCTGCTTCTGCCTTCTGGGTGCTAGGATTAAAGCTGTGCGTTACCATGCCTGATCCTACTGCCCCCACGTTTCAAGTGGTAGGATTACAGGTATGCACTAATACACCCAGTTTATGTGGTGCTGGGGAACCCAGGGCCTTGTGAACACTAGGCAAGCACTCTAATGAGATACCTCTCCAGCCCCACGGATATAATTTTTTAAAGGAAAACATTTACCCCATATTTTAGTCTTAGAAGCTCTAGAATCCTAACTGTGTGGGGTTTGCATTCTTGGTGATTCTCCTCCAGATCCGACAGGAAGTCAGGGCTTTCAGTGTCCACTTCTGGAACAAACGCCCACCTGTAACTGGAGGGGAAACAGAAAACAAGATCAGGCTGAAGCAGAGCTCATGGGAAAGATTTTAAAGCCGTCTGACTGACATAACTGCATACCCTACTGTTTAATATGCACAACTCAGTGGCTTAGTATGTTTATAGAACTGTATATCCATCAACACAGTTTTAAAAAGCCCTCTCCCCTCAGCCATCACTGCTCAGTCTTCAGGACCTACTGATCTTCATCGTGTCTGTAGATTTTGCTAACTGATCAGTGTGAGTGTCATTAGGCAGCACGTGTCCCTCAGAGGATGGCTTCTCCCAACCAGCATCCTAGTCTCAAGGTTTAGCTTTGCTGGAGCAGGTGTCAGCATCTCATGACTTCTCCCTGCTGAATGATTCTTCATTACACGGCTCTATCACTTGTTATTTATCCACCTAGTATCTGAAGGACACGTGGGTTGTCTCCAGTTTGGGGGCTAGTATATATAATGCTACTACTGTACACAACTGTGTCCTCATGAACCCTCCTTTATTCCATGGGCTAGTTTTGGAGTGGTTTAGGCAAATAGCTAAACTGAACCAAGGGGACAGAGTTCCCACATATCCCTCCTCACCGCATTTACAGCCTCTCTATGGATATCGACCACCATAGTAAAATCTGTTGTTAGTGATGAACCTATGTCTATATACCATTATCAGTCAAAGTCTACAGTTTATGTGTGGCTCACCCTGTGTGTGCACTGACATGGCCACCATTATGATATCACTGCAGTCCACTGCCCTACCCCTCCCTCTACACTGTCACCTCATGCTCTGCCTTTCCTGTTGTTCACAGGAATAGAATGTGTGTGGCCTTTTCAGACTGGCTTCTTCCCCTTACTGATATTCACTTAAAAGAACTCACAATGTAATTTTATTATTTTATTTATTTTATTTATGTGTATTTATGTGTGCATGTTTCTCTGTAACAGCACCATGTGCATGCAGTGCCTGTAGATCCAGAGGACGGCATTGGATCCCTTGGAACAGGTGGCTGTGAGCTGCCATGTGGATGCTGGGAACAGAACGCAAATCCTCTGTAACGAGAGCTAGTGCTCAACTATGGAGTCACCTTTCTAGCCCCTCCACAAATATTTTAACCACAAACATTTCCACATTTCCCTTTGTAGGGGCAGGAAAGAGAGGAGCAGCCTCTGGGGCTGGGCGGGAGCCTAAAAGCAAAACAGCTGTGTTAATCTCTTGGGAAATGTGTGCCAGAGAGGCCATGTGAACCGGGAAGGTGTGCTCCCAACAGAGGCCTGCACACGTAACTGCAACAGACAATGCACAACGCAGTCTACACACACAGTGAGGATCCACCAGAGATCCATCTTACAAGCATTCCGTACCAAAAGCCACCTCAGCAGACGACAAAGACACTGATCCTCCACAGAGACATGTTCGCACATATGAACACAAGCCAAGTTCATGAAACCTCAGCTCTTAGGAGTAATCCGAAACCTGGTCTCCAAGCTGCCTCACAGGCCACTCGAAACTCTAGCTGTGGCTTTCTCACACACTGGCCATGAAAGAAAAGTGAAGTGAAGGGAAGGAAGATCACCTGCTTTTAAAGGGTGTGTTGGTCTCCTGCGACTTACATTTGAAATAATGGCATCTTGTCAGGTGGGAAAGAAAGTGCTGTGTCCAAGAACTTGCAAGCAGATAGATACAAGGAGAGATCACTTGGGGGGACGTCCCCAACTAAAGGTCCATTTCCGTCAGCTTTGGTTCTGTTTATTTTGTTGCTGTTTCTATAAATTCAAAAGGAAAATTTCACTGGAAATTCATCCACATCTACTATGGTCCATTTGTTTATGAAAAGTCCTTAAAACACATTTTTCTTTTAAGAAATCTTCAGAATATGGTGCTTATGTTGGTAGAGGGCTTGCCTGGCATGCACAAAACCCTAGATTCCATCCCCAGCATGGCATAAATGAGGCACAGTGGCTCAGGCCTATGAGGCTAGTTTAGGATACATGAGACCTTCTCTAAGGGGGGAGAGAGACAGAGAGAGAGAGAGACAGAGAGACTGAGAGAGACAGAGAAAGACTAGCTGGCCTTTTTTCATTTGAAAATAACTTTATTATTTTACAGTAGTTAAGGAAAGTTCTTGGGATTTTATGATCAAATTTAATCACTACAGAAAAAGATTTAGAGTTGATCAGTGAGCCCACCAGTCCTCTCTTGTCTCTCGGTGGTTGAGAACAGGAAGGGAACATATCATTTCCATAATGAGAAAACAACCAGCTAAAGGGGGGAGAGAGGGGACAGAGGGGAGGGGAGAGAGGGGAGAGAGGAGAGAGGGGAGAGTGAGCACCGACACTCGCCTCTGTCTGCTTCCTGACTGCGGTGCGCATGGCCGCATCACACTCCTGCTGCCCCACCTTCCCTGTCTCCACGGACACCATTCCCAAAGCATGAACCAAGCTAAGCCCTTCTTCCTGTAAGTTGGTTTTTGTGAGGTATTTGGTCACAAAAAGGAAAAGAGTAACTAATAGCCTGGGCTGCGGTTTTTCTTAAAGCCGTTCCTCAATCAGCTCACTTGTTCATTCTTTATGTACTTAAATAATGCCTGCTGTTCAAAGCCCCTGTACAACTGGGACCTATCCTAACCTTCAAAGAGCTCATTCCTAAATTTTAGGAATCAAATGAAATGAAACCAACTAAATCCTTACACACTTTGGTTTCATGTGGACCCCTGAGAGAATCCACCTGAATGGTTTGATTTAGTTATGTTTCTGATACAACACTTGATCAGACAGGAGCTATGATCTTGCTGCTTTACGTGAGTATTAGAAAGTTCCCCAGTTGATTTATAGAAAATCCATAACAGACTCTCTACTCCCAAAGAAGCTGTATTGGTATTATGTGGAACCTTTTATTGTAACAGGTTGGTTTAATAGAAATTACTTAAGCATTTAAAATGATAGCTTTAAAATGTGGGAATGGAGAGGGTCAGAACACTTGGCTACTCTCCATAAATTGAATAGCGTTTTAGTCTTAAAGTTTTGACAGAGGAATGGGAGGGGAGGTAGAAGGGAGGGGGAGAGAGGGGGGAGAGGGAGAGAGAGAGCAAGAGGGGGAGAGGGGGGAGAGAGGGGAGAGGGGAGGGGAGCGGCACAGTGGAATTCACTCCTGGCTGCTGCTCTCAGGCCTGGGTTCAAGTGTTTGTGTCTTCCACCTGCCTCAGTCCTCTCTTCCAGAGCGGAATGACTATGGGACTGAGCAACTGAAATAACTGTCACCAAGAGCTCAACAGCACAGCACAGTAGTAAACTGGCCTCTTAATAAGCATTTCAAGAAGGCAGTGTGAACAACAGGATTTTACAAAGGAAGGCAAAATACTCCCTCCGGGCAGGGAAGATCTGTCAGCTCAGGAGGTGAACAACTCAAGTCACCAAGTCCCTGAAGTGGACCAGGTTCACCAGGCCCCTCCCTCCCAAGCATATTTAAGCCCCAAGGACCACTGAGGGACACTCCCAGAGCAGTCAAGCTGTCTAGAAGACAAAGTTCAGCCAAGGTGCCTAAAAGAGTCAGAGACCAGCTGAGCAGCTGGAGGAAGAGACACTGCACCCCGCTCCAGGTTTCCAGCTTTCCTGAGCTGCCATTCACGCTGGGTGGACTTTGGGTGACACAGCTGTTGTTGAATCATTCCTGCTCCTGTAAGTAACCCCTCACCCACATTCCTGTAAGAACCTCAGTAAAATTGATTGGTTCACGAAGTTGTACTTTGGTGGAATCCTCAGTCTGGTCTGTCACTGGTTCCCCATCTGGGGTAAGTAGGTGTCTGTTCACATCTCCCCAGCACACAATAGCCCTACACCCCACAGCAATGTCTAACCCTCACCACCCCATACCTGGTACAGAGGCCGCGTGCCACCACCCCATACCTGGTACAGAGGCCGCGTGCCACTTACCTCAGTGATTCGTCTTCCTCTTTCAGATCTTCTTCAAGCTGTATAAATGTCTGAATCTTAAAAAGAAAATGTACATTCAAGGTACTATTTGACAGAGATCACATTTACTTAAATTTATCTCTATAAAAAACTAGTCGTGCCAGGCGTGGTGGCGCACGCCTTTAATCCCAGCACTTGGGAGGCAGAGGCAGGCAGATCTCTGTGAGTTCAAGGACAGCCTGGTCTACGTAGTGAGTTCCAGGTCAGCTGGGGCTACAAGGAGACCCTGTCTCAAAAAGACAAAAACAACCAACCAACTAACCAACCAACTAGTCAGGTTGGAGAGATGGCTCAGCAGTTAAGAGTGCTCGTTCTTGCAGAGGACCTGGGTTCAGTTCCCAGCACCCACATGGTGGCTAACAACCCTCTTGAACTCCAGTGTCTGGGAGTCTGACACCCTCTTCTGGCCTCTGTGGGCATTGCACAACACTGTACTTATATACATGCAGGCCTAAAATAAAAAAATTAAAAGCATTAAAACAAAAAACTAGTAAGTCTGAGGATGGAGCTCAGAAGTAGAGCAGGAAGACCCTGAGTTCCATCACCAGCACCACAAATCAATAAGAAAACTAGCAATAACATTAAATTGTACAAACGGTACAGGTGAAAGATTAAATAGAAAATATTCTCTATTCAACCAAGAACTGACTATGTGCTATCAACCTGACAACTTACAGATGAAATTAGATACATACGGAGTAGTATATAACAATGAAAAAAGCATCAAAATATTTTATTATGTGTATGAGTATATTGCCTATATGTATGGAATTGCACCCATGTCATACAATGCCTGTGGAGATCAGAAGAGGGAATTGTTGTATTCCCTGGAACTGGAGTTGGGGAAAGTTGTTAGATACCATGTGGGTACTGGGAACTGAACCTGGGTCCTCTGTAAGAGCACCTAGTACTCTTAACTGTTGAGCCATTTCTCCAGCCCAGAAAAAGGAGTTTTAAGACCTCCAACCTTACTTAAAACACATACATGCACTTACCAATTCAGAGACCATTATTGGCCACAATGAGGTCAGATGCTGAGGAGATATTCTTAGCAGCAAAACTCTGAAAAAAAGAAACATCTGAGCAGCAACTATGGATGTCTGTCCAACTCTGAGATTGTCTGTCAGGCGTTCTATGGAAGAGAAGATTTTAAAGAGGTCACAAAAATATGCAGTTTGGGGTTTCTCAGTAGCTAAAAGAATAAAACAAACTTTTTTTTTTTTTTTTTTTTTGTTTTTGAGACAGGGTCTCCGTGTAGCCTCAGCTGGCCTGGATTTGCTATGTAGACCAGGCTGGCCTCCATTGCACAAAGATCCTCTTGAGTGTTGGAATTAAAGGCATGTGTCACCATGCCCGGATAAAACTATAACTGCTTTGACATTTTGATGGCAATCCAGTGTAAGAGGAGAGTTCAGGCTGGGCACGGATGGGTGCCCTACACTTGTAACCCCAGGTAGAGCTGGGCACGGGTGGGGTACCCTACACCTGTAAGCTGGGCATGGGTGCCCTACACCTGTAATCCCAGGTAGAGCTGGCAGGGCTGCCACAAATTCAAGGTCAGTCTGATGTACAATATTGAGTTCAAGGCCAGCCAGGGCTACAGAGTGATACTCTGTCTTAAAATGTAGATGAAGGGGTGAGGATGTGGCTCATCTGGTAGAGTACTTGCCTGGCAAGCAGGAAGCTCTGGGTTCTGTCCTTTGCACTGAATAAACCAGGCATGGTAGCACACACCCGCAGCCACAGCACTCAGGAGGTGGATGTGGGAGGACAGAAGTCTAATGTCCTTGGTTACATAGTGAGCTGGAGGCCAGCTTGGAGAAACCAAAAGAGGAAGAAGGAGAGGAGCAAGCACTCTTAACTGCACAGCTGTCTCTCTATGAGGCAGGGTCTCCTCATAGTCCCTGCTGGCCTGAACTCACTATGTAGGCCAGGATGGCCTTGAACTCACAGAGATCCGCCTGCCTCTGCCTCCCAAGTGCTGGGACTAAAGGCGTGCGCCACCATGCCCGGCCACAAGTACTTTTTAAAAAGTTTTCAAGCCAGGCATGGTGGTGCACATTTATAATTCTAAGATGGGGTGGAGGCAGGAAGATCTTGAGTTTGAGGCCAGCCTGTGCTGTATAGAGAGACACCATAAACAAAAAACAATCTATACAAAAACAACCTACCAGAAAACAGAATGGTAGAAAAGAAGCAGGCTTAAATCTTGGAATTTAAGGACAGACCCAGTAGTGATTTAAACTTTTTTTTTTTTTCATTTTGTTCCAGCCTGGGCATCTGGGAAGACTATAACCTAGAAAGCTAAAAACCTCTTTTTAACCTGGGCGAGGTGGAGCACACTTTTAGTCCCAGCATTCAGGAGGCAGAGGTAGGTGGAGGAAGCAGATGGATCTCTGTGAGATGGAGGCCAGCTTGGTCTACAAAGTGAGTTCCAGACCAACTGGGCTACAGGGAGACCCAGTCTCAAAAAGACCAGAACCAAACAAACAAAACCCCAAACAAACAAAACTTCAGTAATTTAAATGTGAAAAGGCCACTGATGACAAACTGCTAATATAATTCAGAGGCTGAGCTGCTTCTGCAACTGAAAATACTCTAATAATCAGTTCCGGACACTTGAAACTGATGAGCAGGCAGTACCAACCCAACACAAGGAGACCAAGCCAGGCACGGTGGCACACACTTGCGATTCTAGTGCTCAGGAAGCTGGGCAGCAGGACTGTGAGTCCAAAGCTAGGCTGACTACAGAGCACGACCCTGTCAATGCCAGAATGAAAAGAAGATAAAACAATCACATCCTAGATGAAGGAAATCCATGAGAAGCTTCTGACAGCAGATCTGCCTTAAAGAATGGCTGGTGAGATGGTTCAGTGGGTAACGGGCTTGCTGTGCAAGCCTGACAACCAGAGTTCGATCCCCAAAACCACAGGAATGTGAAAGGGGGAAAACTGACTCCACAAGTTGTCTTCTGGCCTCTACACACATGCTGTGGGATATGCACACACGCATCACACACCCCGCACACTATAATCAGTTTAATCTTTTGAACAATGACTGACAGTTCTTGACGGCTGGGGGGCAGCTTCGCTGGTCAGAGTGCTCGCCTGGCACACAGGAGGCCCTGGGTTCGATTCCTGCTCAGGTCCCAAGTGCCAAAGTTCTTCAGACAGCATGGGAATGAAGATGGGAGTGGGAAGGAACAGACTGGTGGTTTGGGTCAGAGCTGGGTGGAAGATGTGACTGTTGCTGTGTGTGACTGAAGGTTCTCTGTCCTGACTGTGAGGCTGGCTATAAGAATTTGTATGTGTGATACTGTCATAGAATTACACACACATTCACACATGCGTGCACACACATACATATACACACACTGCTCAAACTTGCTATGTAGCTGAGGTTGGCCTTAATAAACTCCTCATCCTCCTGTCCCCACCTCCCAAGTGCTATGATTACAGGCATGTACTGCCATGTTCAGCTCTAGCATGATTTATTTACTTTTAATTTTTTGTTTGTTTTTTTGAGACAGGGTCTCTCTGTAGCCCCAGCTGGCCTGGAACTCACGATGTAGACCAGGCTGGCCTCGAACTCACAGATATCCGCCTGCCTCTGCCTCCCAAGTGCTGGGACTAAAGACATGCGCCACCGTACCCGGCCTTTTAATTTTTTAAAACTGCATTTATATGGCTGGGCATGGTGGCACATGCCTTTAATTGCAGCACTCAGGAGGCAAAGACAGGAGGATCTCTTGTGAGCTGGAGGCCGGCCTGGTCTGTATAGCAAGTTCCAGGGCTATATAGTAAGACCCGGTTTCAAAAGCATAAAAATAAAACAGGGTAAAATGTTTATTGCTTTAAACACGTAGTGTTTTTAGAAATACAGTACTTGAATTATCCAAAGTTGATAGAAATTCTTTTCCCATCTAGAGCCCACAAACCATCTCATTGTGCTGACTTTACTATATGTGAAGACATGGAAGTAGGTTATGTCATGTTTAACATTGCTAGTTATACAATCTTACCCTTACTGATATTAATGATCATAAATGTATCATATATAACCTATTCTAGTATTACATGCATGTTATGACAGTTGCACTGCACACAAGGCACATATGTGCATATGTGTAAAGTTCATGCTCTGGTGCTCTTCCACATCCTCTCTCCATCTCAGTGGATTTCCCAGGACCGTCTGGTTAGCCTCCGTTCACTGCGTGAGAAGACTGCTGTGTGCTCCTTCTACAGTTCTTGATTGTTTTTAGTATGACCAAAGTATTTATTTGTTCCTTCATTTATTTTTTTTTGGCACTACAATTAAAAGTTATTGTTTACTGAACACTGCAGACACATGCACATTCATTTTATCTAACCCTTCCAATAATGATACAAGATGGAACTATTTTGTTCTACAACTAGGGAAGCTGTAGTTAGAAGCATGGCTCAGCTTCTACCTGTCCTTCAGCCCTTTGTCCTCAGCCATGTGTGATAGGAGATGGGGAGAGAGGAGGACCAGGTACTTGCTGCCAGATTGGAAAGGAAAGCAAGGTGCCGAGCCCAATGCGCACCTCTTCATTTTCTTTCTCCTCTGCTTAGAGGGCAGACCCCATGTTCCCCTCCCAGGCCACTGTCCAGCGGCTGGGCTCAAATGCACCTCTGCACATGCTGCAGGTCAGCTAAGGGATGCATGATGCCTATGGTTCTTTCTCCCCTTGCATATTTTGTAGGAACATGATGAAGCTCAGCCTTATGCCTCCATGTAGCTCAAGTCACCTCTGATGACACTCCTGGTTCTATCTGAGCAAATCAGCCTCCTATCAGGAATTGAGCAAGACATGGCACTTGGATTTGTCAATATCTGAGTATTTGTTTTTCTCAAGCTTTAGTACTCGAGATATGAGGTAGAAACTGTATTTGTGAGAAGTCGTATTCCTAGAACCAAACTCTATTCTTCTACAATGTGCTTGTGAGCTTAGGCTTTGACGTCTCTTGTTTTATTCACTAGGAAGATGTCTTGAAATGCAACCCTGTGAAGTTCCATAACACACTGGTGTTTTGTTCCGTGATGTTTTCACTACCTTGAGATGTTTTATTGCTCTGTCACATCTTGAAAGTCTGCGATGCTTTCTAACTAACCTTGTCTAACTGCTGATAAAGTCAGGAAACTAAGAAAATGGGAAAGTTGTCAAATGGCCTAATAAAACACCTGGTCTAATTAGTCTACCAAAAGTGTAGACCAAGTGTGACAGATATCTAAACTTCTGCTTGTGATGCCTGCTTTTTGTAAACTGCAATGACTCTTTGACCATCTCCTAGCCCAAGTAGCCTGGCCTACCTATAGAGCAAAATGCAGCAGATGCCCTGACCCACGCCTAGGATATCTACTCTGTAAGCTGAGATGACCGGGTGAACTCAGGAAGGAATTTTCCCTGAGATAACATGGCATAGGGCCCAGAGGGCCATTAGACGACAATAAAGTCATCTATATAACCCTCAAGGGCCCAAGGAGCCATCTCTCTCCAGCCCCCTTTCCCTTTTCCCTTTTTTTTTTTGGACAGGGTCTCACCATGTAGCCTAGGTTGGCCTTCTGTCTCATCTTCTCAATGACTAGATTACAGACATGAACTACCACACTTTGCTAAGAAAAACATTTAGGGGCTGGAGAGACAGCTCAGCGGTTGAGGACTGGAGTTTAGATCTCAGGGTATAACACCAGCTCCACAGGATCCAACTTCCTTTGTGGGTCTATGAGGGCACCTGTACTCGTGTACATCCCCCTGCCCCAACACATGCCTAATTAAAATTCTGTTTTCATTAAAAAGGAAAATAATGTTCTTAAAGGTCAAAGTGAAGGTTTACAACATAATTCTAAGTAGAAATGACTCAAATGTCTTTCCCCTGGTGAGTGGACAAACACCATGGAATGGAAACAACTCAGCAAAGACGAAGGAAAAAACAACTGGAAACTCCACAGGACAGATTACTCTCCCGTGCGTAAATGGGGAAGAAGCCAGACTCAAAGGCTATGCACATCATGGAACCACATGAAAATAGCATTCAAGGCCAGGAAGAGGAAGAAGAGCCATGGCTTGGGGCTGGAACTCAGGGGAGGGGCTCACTACACAGGGGCACTAGG